AGAAGTGCCAGGGCCACGACTTGTTGTCAGCTCTCCAGAGACCTGGTTATTAGACTTAACAGCCCAGAAGGTAGGGAGCTTGTCTATAAATGCAGGGTGGCAAGTCGTCTTGCAGGACAAAGCAACATGTTAACTAGATAAACAAAAGTGCAAGTACAAAGAGTATATACATTTATCAAACATTAATAAACTTGTTGAAAGTTACCTTCTTCTTCCTAAGAAGGCCCCAAGGCAAAAGTGTGACAGCTGGAGCAGCACATATTGCACCATACAACCGTTTCTCCTCAGCTTGTTTGCTAGTCATCTTCTGGAGAATTTTACAGTCTCTTAAACGTGCAGACCCTGGCATTCCACCCTAAACAGTAATCCACAACCAGTCTCTCACAATTCACGAATCTATAATTGCTAGCTTCAACGCTAAAAGAAACGAGAAAAAAGTTCAGTGGTCAAAGTGGTACTTGGTCAAAACGTGATGAAATATTGGTGTAGCTAACCACTCAAAAGAGACAGAGCAAAAAAACACAAGATGACAGAAGCAGCTGAATACTGAATTATGGAGCAGAAAGAAAAACCAACCGGAAGGGCAATTAGATCAAAGATTTGATCGGAACAAGCAGAGGCAAATGCATCAGCAACCAGCCTAGTGCCTCCAGAAAATTCCACCTCTAGTCGTTGCTCCACAGAAGCCAGAGTCACCTCCGCGCCAGCCCGCCGCAGAACATCAACTAATATCACAGCCTCCATTTCTTCTGAGCCAAACCCAATTGGCACCAAAACCTATCAGCCGTAAAAGAAGAGGAGCAAAAGCTTAAAATGAGTTCCCCAATAATCGCACCAATTCCAACGTTAACTAAACACGGCACGAAGAACCCAGCCCCAAAAGAGTAAATAAATAATAAATAAATTCCAAAATTAAGAGAAAAAAAAAAAGAATAAACCTTCTTGGTCTTAGGAGGGTTTTCATTTGCTGCAGGAGAAGGGGTGGGTATGGAAGCCGTTGGGCTTGGAAAAGGGATTTTAGGAGGTTTTGAAATGCTTGGGGTTTTACGCTGTTCGGAGACTGCAGCAGCAAACACACGAAAGCCTAAGGCCCGGAATGATCTTGTGGAGAGGGACGCCAAACAATGGTTGTCGGACTTGGGAAGAGTTGTAGGGATGAAATACAGAGGAGTTATTGAAGTCCTCATTTTTTTTTCCTTTTTAATTCTCCAAATTTTAAGTTAGCTGAGAATCAAAGGAATTATTTGCTGTTGCTGGGGGGAATGCTGGAGTTCGTGTTTCCCAATAGAATCTGTGTAATAATCCGGAGACTTGAATCCGGGATGCCTCAATCGTTAGGCAAGCTAAAGAGTTTCAGGGTCCTTTCTTATCCCCTGCAAGTTTATTTGGCCATGGTCAAGAACGAGTTGACTAGGCAGTAGTGAGTAAACTGTTCATTTCTCATACTTATTTTGTGACTTCTTTTCTTCCTTATCGTAATTTTGGCCCCTGTTGTCCCTTCAATTGCAATACAGCATCATCAAACTTCTAACTATTACAAGTTTCCGAGTCAGTTTTCCAATTTGATTTACTAGCACAAGTGGCCGTTTCTTCTACAATGCAAAAAAGTTCTATTTCTATGAGTGATTGGGAGTGAAATTTATTTATTTAAAGCATCCTTCAAACCATAGATTGGTCGTTTATGAGTGTGTTTGGATTGCTAAATTATTTTAAATAATATTTTACTTGTATTATAAACATATTTTTTAATTCACATCTTTATATTTCTAACTAACTTTTAACTCACATATATCACATCACAAAAAGTTCTAAAATAATTATTTTAAATAATATTTTAAATAATATTCAATCCAAACACTTTTCACATTCTCATTTAAAAATGTAGTCAAATAAAAGGTCTTTGTTTCCATAACGAGACACGTTTCATTCTATTTTACTATTTGATTTTTTCCAATATTTTCTTTTTTTTTCTCACAAAAAAATACACTGCTTGAAAGCTAAAATAGTACAAGATCATAATGTTTTGATAATCATGTATTTTGGCAATCAATAATTCCTTATACTATATAAATATTGAGTTTTGGTCGAAGAATATGTTGAATTTCAACCGCATAAGTGGGAATTTTTTTGAAAATGTGAAATGTTGTGTATTAATTTAAAAGCTTTAGGTACAACTTAACAAGGCATGTATTTTGGTATGTTTACTGAAATGACCCCATTTTAATATCTTTAAAGTTGTCATTGCTGAGCCATCTAGATATTGATGGGATGTGTAATGAGTGTGCAACCGTTTTTGCATTTTGTACAACCCATATATGCTTGTGTGCTAGTGTAATTACCAGAATATCTCTGAACTACCAATAATTTCCCATTTTAATACATTTAAGGTTGTCATTGATGAGCCATGTGGGTATTGATAGAATGTGTAATTAGTGTGCAACTGTTTTTGCATTTTATACAACTCATATATGCTTATGTGTTGGTGTAATTACCGGAATATCCCTTAACTACCAATTATTCCCATTTTCAGCCGTAGGTAACCGTTTGAGATGTTGCTTTGTCTGAAACATTTCAATGGTTGCCGAACTGTTATGAATGTTAATGGTCTGGTCGGCACCCATTTCTCTATCATTTATAATCTGCATTTATGAGCCACAAACGTTGATCAGTTTATCCCTTTTCAGCTTCAAGGATTAAGTTTTCCCTTTTTGCCTTTGTTTACAATGATCTGGCTCATCGTTTTCTCTTCCATCCGAGCTCAACTCTGAAATTATCTATTATTTCGTAATTAATTACACCCCAATTCAATTGCCGAACCGTTTGTATGTTTATGCCCAGACGTTTGATTATCAGTTTCTCCCTGTTCGCATTTTGAGATTGGGATAATTCTTCCTGATTTCATACTAATCAACTCAGAATGCTTTTCAGTCTCAGCTACTCCTGATGGTTCATCTTGAGGTCCACCCCCTCCCCAATTTTTCAGTTTCTCCCTTAATTTTGTCGGTATGTTCTTAGTACCTGCAATTAGCGACTTTTATCGCATTGCTAGCTGCAAGATAGCATTTTTTTCATAGATTCGGTTGCCCTCTATAATTTGACTTTATTGGTTATAATCTTATAGGTTTGGAGTAACAGCAAGAAAGAGCTCTCGGTGGGGATTCTGGAATAATGTTAACTTTCTGTATTGCTCTGCCTTTCTGTATTATCACCGACCTTCAATTTGACACCGTTTTATTATAACGCTGTGTGAATTGATTGGTTATATCGTTTATTGTTGATTTGGGTGTGAAGTGTTCACTTCACTTACTGCTAAATGTGTTCTTTATTTTATATTGTATGAGAACAAATTTTTATGCTGTATTCCATGCCCGAAATTGCTATAAAGTTAATAACAACTTAATCTATAATGAGAAGAAGCAATATGGGACTTGCATTCACTAATCTGTCAAATGCAAGTTCGTCAAAGGTACCAGTTAAACATGGGATCACATCAAAATGGATTAGCAGTGCTACAAGTGTACATAATAACGGAGCACTTGAGAGATCTCTAGGAACTCAACTCCCGAAGAGCTCGCTGTCATATCGAAGTACACAACCAACTATGCAACCACATCAACATCCTAGAATTCTGGCAGTGCAATAAGCGTAGCTGAAGTAGTAGAAAACCCCGACTATATCTCTCAAGGAACGGCAATATATGTCGCAATGACAGAAATGGAGACAAGGAAAAGAGTCGGCCCAACCAATTTGGACACCTCATCTTCTACAAAGTCCAGTGAAGGAACCAGTGGTGCAACACCGGCACAACAAAATGATGGAACCACCAAGAAGCAACACAGCTGAGTACTTAAGGTTGCCTATTAAAGTATCTAAATTAGTCTACTACTATTACTATCACTAAATAAGGAACTGTATGGTGCCAGGATTATAGCTATTACTCTATTTGTTTTCAACAATTTTTGCTTTATGGACTATTACTACTGTTTTCGTTCGATTACTTTATGGACTATTTTTTTTTGCAATAGTAACTGCTTCTCAGTATTTGATAGCTATTTATTCTCACAATATATTATTGTTTGTTCAACAAAAAAACCTTTTTTCCCACAAGCACCAAACACCCGTGCGATACACGGGCATTCCCCCTAATTTATTCTTATTATGTCCACATATTGTAGTATCAGCAGATTATGACCATTTGAATAATCAATATATAAAACAAAGGCTCAGAACTAAAGCCATCTAACTTATATCTTACAGCTCTAAATAATGAAAGATCACTGCTTGACATACATTGTGCAACAGCATTAGTACTATTATCTTTCATAAGCACATTATGCAATAACAAATAGTAAATACAAACATGCACACGTGAACGCGCGCGCACATATATGTATATATGTATGTATATATTAAAAAAAGATAATGTTATTGGACAAAGTAATTGTAAAATTAAGTTAATATAGTCACTATAAAATTGAATGTGACAATAGGATCAGGGGAGGAACATAATTACCCTTTTATAAAAGAAAATAATAAAATAAGGAAGCGAGTGCAATGAAATGCTAACATAATATTGACACCCATTCCATATAATTTAAAGTTGTTGAAATCCTAGCAAGTAGGTAACAATTGCTCGATTTCAAGGTTCATTTTGAAAGAAGATTTTAGTAAATTATTTAGGATTTTTTAAATTTCTGAAAATTGTGTATTTAATTTGATAATTGTTTTTTAAAAAATTGTTTTGTATTATTGTTTGATCATATTTTTACATAAACAGAAGTTAGGTAAAAAATAAAACAATTCTTTTACATATAATCTTCAATTGAAACGCAAAACATTAACATTTGTAGGCGAAGAAAAAAGAAAACTTTACCTATTTAAACCCTTTTGAAATTGGAAGCAATTCAAAAGCAAACAAAAACATAAAAACAAAAAGACAAGGAGGGGAATTGAAAGGTAGAGCTGCAAATTTTATTTTATTTTTAAAAAAAATGGGGCAAATCTTTGAATAATGCACTGTATCTCAAGAGTCATGCTACCACGGCGGAGAGAAATCCTTGGAAGAGTGGATATGTATTGATGACATTGTGGACAATCCTTGCAAGCAATAATAGAACAACCCCAACCGCAATATAACAAGTGGAAACTCCAATCCGGGACAAAGCCCCACTGCCACCGCCACCGCCACCGCCTGAGTAAAAGCACGAGAGTAAAAAATGGCTGGAATCTTAGCCAGACGAATTAGTACTGGTAGATTTAGTTCGTTATTGGGGGTGCGATGCAGTCCAGTTCAGCGGCAGTTGAACAACCCGGGCACCTACATTTTCCCCCGGAGCTTCTGCTGCTTAGGGGTCTTACCCGACACCATTAATCGGAGCTCCGAATCATTCCTCAAGAACTCCCAGGTCATGGAAGGCATTATATCCCAACTTCACTCCAATATTCAGAGGGTCCGAGCTAACAACTTTGTTTCTGTTGGGTTGATTTGTCGATTGAACAATATTGTCCTTGGGTTTCACTCAATACTTGCTAGTCATGATTGATTACAGGTTATGGAGGGAGGAGGAGCGGAAGCCGTGAAGAGGAACCAGAGTAGAAATAAGCTTCTTCCTAGAGACAGAATTGATCGCCTCATCGATCCTGGTTCTTCGTTTCTTGAGCTTTCTCAGGTATAAAAAGCCATTTTGTTACAAACTAGAGCGAATGCTGTGTTCTCGATCTTGTGAGAAATACCGGTAATTATACTGCTAAATTAGCTCGAGTAGTTCAGAGTTTACCAATTGGAGGTTGTATTTGATGATGCTCTGTCACACAAGTTGAATTAGCGTTGATCTTATGTTACTATTAAAAACAAGAATGTAGGAGCTGAGAATAAGTTCTATATTTTCATTGGATAGTTGCAAAGTCTGAGGTGTCCTTATTTTTCTTGCTGGCCTTAAATTGTTTCCTTAGCATGTAATGCTTTGTTTCCTATGCCCTGCAAAATATTCGAAATGCTGAAAGTTTCAATCTAGAGATTTGTTTCCATTTCTCGCTCTTCGGAGGTTCATTTGAAAAATAAATTGCAAGTTATAGTTTCTCTCACATATTTTCTTACCTTTCATCCTGGATGCCATGTTCAATAATTTCAGCTTGCTGGCCATGAATTGTATGATGAACCATTACCTTCTGGTGGGATAATTACCGGAATTGGTGCGGTACATGGTAAACTATGCTTGTTTGTGGCAAATGACCCCACTGTGAAGGGTGGAACTTATTATCCCATCACAGTCAAGAAACATCTCAGGGCACAAGAAATTGCCTCACAATGTAAACTACCATGCATATATCTTGTTGATAGTGGAGGTGCTTTCCTTCCGAAGCAGGCTGAGGTTTTTCCTGACAAGGAAAACTTTGGTAGGATATTCTACAATCAAGCTTTGATGTCTGCAGAAGGTATTCCCCAGATCGCTTTGGTGTTGGGTTCTTGCACTGCTGGTGGGGCCTATATTCCTGCAATGGCAGATGAAAGTGTAATGGTTAAAGGAAATGGTACCATATTTCTGGCTGGACCACCTCTTGTAAAGGTTAGTAAGACGACTTTGTTGGGTAATGCCTCTTGATCTTTGATGATTAATTTGGTTAAGCAGTGGTAATGAAGATTGAGGAGCTTGACTGAAAATTTTTATGCCGTTTTATGTAGATTTATATGAGTTAGCATCTTATCCATGCACTATGTATGTCTCTATTAGCACAAAGACAGATTGATTAGTATTATTTCTAAAATAGAAATTTTTATAGGCTGCCACTGGAGAGGAAGTGTCGGCGGAGGACCTGGGAGGTGCTACTGTACACTGTAAGACATCTGGCGTTTCAGACTACTTTGCCCAAGGTGAATAATCACTGCTTCTGGTCTCTTTCTTGTTTTTGTTTTTTAGAAAAGTAATTTGGCCATTAAATAATTACAGGATTCCTCTATGCTCCAAAAAAATGTGTCCAGTCTTGTTGCTTCCTATTATACATGATGTCATATGAATTCTGCATCTATTTTGCAGACGAACTACATGCTCTTGCTATAGGAAGGAATATCGTAAGAAACTTGCACATGGCTGGAAACCATAATGTATCTCAACACAGGACATTTGATTACAAAGAGCCACTGTATGATATAAAGGAACTTCGGTCCATTGCACCAGCAGACTTTAAGCAGTCCTTAGACATTCGATCTATTATTGCCCGTATATGTGATGGAAGCGAATTTGATGAATTCAAGAAACTGTATGGCCCTGTGAGGCTTTTCTCTTCCTGAAACTCATTATTCTTTATTTTGAAATGTTGATTTTTTTTTTCTTTTAAATCTTGTGGTTTGATAATTCTCTATTGTTTATAAAGACACTTGTAACAGGTTTTGCAAGAATATATGGGGAGCCTGTGGGAATAATTGGGAACAATGGTATATTATTCAATGAATCTGCCTTAAAGGGGGCCCATTTCATTGAATTGTGTACTCAGCGTAACATTCCATTGGTCTTCCTTCAGAATATTACAGGATTCATGGTATGTCTGGACTGATGTGTGATACTGTTTTAAGTACTCATAAATTGTGTTTTCAATCCAATAGTGAAGTTTGGAAAGGAATCATATCTACCGAGGCATTCTTGTGTTGTATAGCAAATCAGTTCCACAAAAAGAGTCGGTAGGATTAAAAGCCTGTTTCTTGATGGTACCACAAGTTTGAACCTAGAAGTTAAAATTCACAAGTCCAACTGCACAAATTCAATGTTTACACTTAAGTTTTAGATAAGGTAGGTGATGTTCCAAGTCCTTGAGTTGTAAAATTGAAACTATTGCTTGTTTATTTCTTCAGTTATCCACTGAATGCTTGCAGTTATTATGGTAGTCTTGTAACTCCCTTCTGTGAAATTCCCCACAGTTCCTTTACTTTCAACTCTCTCTGTTTTGCCTGTGAAACCTGTCATCCTGTTTTCGGGGACCTTTCCTTGTATCCCAGCATAATTTTGGAGAGTATATTTGTGGCAAGAGAAAGCAGTTGACGATATGCTGGCTGACATAAAGTTCAATCATTGTCTCTAGTGTGTAGCCTTAAAGTCTCAATTTTGCTTCAAGTAATCTTAATGTCTAATTGTAGCTGATATTTGTAAGTCTGGTATTTGGCTGGAGTTAACTCTAGGAAATTTAGGTGGTTGTTGGGCATTGACATCTTGGATGGCATTCCTTGTCGACTTTCATTGTCTATCTAAAGTGTGGACATATCTTACTGGAGTTTCTGTAATGGATCTTTTTGCACATAAGAATTGTTTCTATTTCATATTGCAGGTTGGGTCTAAATCTGAGGCAAATGGTATAGCTAAATCTGGTGCCAAAATGGTGATGGCAGTTTCTTGTGCAAAGGTTAGCCATTTATTCTTATGTGACAGTTTTTAGTTTCGTATTGTGTCTTGGCTTTCTGATTTCAAAGTCCAGGACCTAACATGCTTTTCAATGTGTTGCAGCATTAAGAGTTTCTGAAACAACAATTTCCTATAATAGATTTTGAACATAAAATCCTCTTTAAATTGCTTCAATAGGATCAGTTATTGTTGTGTTTGAAGTTTTTCCCCTTGGTAATTACATTACTAAAAAGAAGGAATGTGTGAAAAGAAATGATATATTCTACTCTCTCATCTTGGAATTGTATGTCATGTAGGTTCCCAAAATCACTGTTGTTGTGGGTGGAAGCTTTGGAGCTGGAAACTATGCTATGTGTGGACGAGCATATAACCCTAACTTCATGTTCTTCTGGCCAAATGCTAGAATATCTGTGATGGGAGGTGCTCAGGTAGTTTCCTTCCAATATGCTGCAATATTACAGGTTCTTTAAGAACTTTATTTATAAAGAGAGTTGTGTTTTTTGTATTTCAACTGTTGATGTGACTCGTTTCATCTCTCCAGTAGCCTTCTAAACTCAACCTTCTCAAGTTGTTTTCAACCTGCGGAATATTTTGTAGGTCTAGTATGTTTTTGTGTGTGCCCACCTGTGCTCTGTGTGTGTGTGTTTTTTTTTTGGGGGGGGGGTGGGTGGGTGTAGTATAGTTCAATCTGAATTATAACCTAAAGGTACGCAAATCGTTGCCATAAACTCAGATATCATGAATTGGATCCCCAATTTGACCACTCCTAGGAAAAACACAAACTCCTTTTTCTCATGCTTGCTATAAGTAGTTGATTTCAGTTGAAAATTGGGAGACTGTGTAATTTCAGTGCTCCTTGGTTTTTGTTTCTCAATTTTATTGCATAATGTTCTTCTTCCTTGGCATCACAATGGTGAATTTCCTTCTTAAAACCAAGGTAACATTGCTCCATTTCTAATTTTTTTTTTGTGTTGTTTTTTAGGCTGCTGGGGTTCTGACGCAGATAGAAAAGGCCAACAAGAAAAAAGCTGGGGTTCAGGTAGGAATGTGGTTTCGAAATCTTGCAATGATTTTTCCCAGAGTACCTACTGGCATGTTTTATGTATTACAGTGGACAAAGGAGGAAGAGGAAAAGTTCAAGGCTGATGTTGTGGAGGCGTATGAAAGAGAAGGCAGTGCTTACTATTCAACTGCTAGACTTTGGGATGATGGGATTATTGATCCAGCTGACACAAGAAAAGTCGTAGGCCTTTGTCTCTCTGCCTCCATGAACCGTGGCCGAGAAAATACCAAATATGGTGTATTTAGAATGTAAAATTAAGGCTATTGTTTTTCCCAAAAAAAAAAAAAAGAAAAAGAAAATAAAAAGAACATGCTATCCCAGGAGAGGACGTTTTTACCTCCAAGGATGCTGGTTTAGAGCTCTGAACCTGCATAAACCATACCGGACAGGATGCAAGATTACTTGAGATGGATGAATCTTTTGACAATTTGCCAAAAAATGAGCTTTCTGAGTGTCCGTTTGGCGGAATCCTGACTGTCAATATGCCTATATGCGACTAATGATCCTACTATCTCACATCGATTGTGAGTGGTGTGTGTGTACTATTTAAGGTCCTCAGTGTGGTCTGAAAGTCAGCATGCCTCTTGGGTTGGGCTGTGGAATAGCCTTAGGTAGTGTGTGTGTGTGTGTTATCTGCATTTGTTGAAAGACTAATGATCCATTCATCTTCTTGATCAGAACAAGTCCAGATGATCTGGGACGGTGATGACAGTATCAACTATCAAAAGAAAAAAAAAAAAAAAATTGAGCCAAACAGTGTGCACATGGGAATGCTTGCTTCATCTCTGGTTTAAAGCTGGCCTTTTGTAGTTGAAACCTCATGTGTCATCTCAAGGACCTTTGCTTATATTTTGATCCGTATCCGAAGGTGTTGTCTTTTTTTGGTATATAAGTAAATTTCTGGTACAATCACAAGGTGGTGTCTGAAATCCCTGTATTCCAATCCAGGTTAGTTCAAACGACACTGGAGTGTCACTGAACAGCATCCACGTGGTAGTTCCCCCCGCCCCAAAAAAAAAAGTGAAAAGCTCCTGTGAAACGCGCCCGTGGCCTAATGGATAAAGTGTCTGACTTCTAATCAGGCGACTGTGGGTTCGAATCCCACCGGGCGTGTGTTTGTGCCAAACGATATATGGAGTAAATTGTCTCATCCTTTCCCCGTAAAGGATTGGAGAAATGATAAATGTAAACAAAATGGGAAATTCTCATCTGCTGCATAAAGCTCTCTACGACCCATCTCGTTTCGGTCGGTGATCTCATTATTGTCCGTCTGTGTGTTTATTCTCCTCCGCCGCGGACACAGAGCCATTCAACTAATTGGAGGACAATCTTCTGTCCCCAACTACAACACCTGAAAATCCCCTAAATACTACCCCATTTACCCACGTGATTTACCTATACATGCTAAGCCTGAGCCTGAGCCTGATTCTTTTCCCTCGGCAGCATCACCCTGTTTCTCTGCTACCGCTGCATCATTCATTTCCACTCTTCTAGTTCTAATTTCCTTCAAAGCTTTTGCATCTGCTCAAAAGCAGAATAATTGGAATCATACAAAAGTATGGCTTGGACATGTGCTGGCTGCCATTCAACTGCGACGTTCTCGTCCCTTTACCCTCCGGTTCTCCAAGACTGCGGCTTTTCTTCACTGAGACCGCAGACTCTACGGCTGCTCAATCACCCAACTCGGTTCTCATTTTCCCACCAAAAGGGCTATAGGCTTCCACAATCCCCTTCGCCTTTCACGATTCTCTGTCTCCGTGACCCCAAAGGTAAGGCTCCCAAATCCCTCATTTTGATGCTCTACGTAGTACGCCTACGATACTAGTATTAGTTATCATATCATTTTGGCTTCTGGGACCGCTCCTCCCCCACTTTTTTGGGTGGGGTTGGGGGAGTTCAGTGGAGTAATTGATTGGATGGAAGGACTTCTTGAATAGTTTTTATACTTCCTTTAGCAGATGGGCATGAAGGGTTGTTAGTGAATAGCTGATCAAATTTTTTCCCTGGTGTGGATCTATCTGAATACCCTTTCTTATACTTTATGGTTTGGTTTTGGGATTTAATTAGCAGGAGACTGATGAAAACGAAGAGAAGAGAGGGAAATGGGCAGTTTGAATTCAAAGTAATCTATAGACCATTTGTAATTACTATGCCTGATCCCTAATTCTGAGACAGATAGATTCATTTTCATGTCCGTGCTACCCATCCACTAATCAGTAGGATCTTCAGTAGTTTCAAAGTTTCGATTTAGACTGCAAAATGGACCTGTAACAGCAAAATTTGCTTTTGCTTCAAGTTTTGGACCTTCTTGTTGCTAATACGCGAAGTTATTAGTTATAGCATCATTTTTCAATGTTCATCACGGGCAAATCAATACATCGCATCCATTTATTATACAATATAAGCCTGGTTGATATCATCCAGAATGCCTTTACGTGGCCATGTTCCAAATCTCTACGAATTTATTGTTACTTCATGCTGGGCTCAGGAAAACCTTGCAAACAACTCTGGCCATGTATTTCAAATCTTCTTTATACACGGTTAGGATCCTCAGCCCCCTTACCCAGCCTCCCTATTGAGCCTCACAGACATTTTTTTGCCACATATCCAAATTTATCATCTAAACCTCACGTGAGATCATACCTCCTATCGCCTGCAACTCCATCACAGAAGCAACTTTTGCAAGATGCTGAAATGAATAAGACTCGTGCTTTTGCTTAGTTTCATTGTTCACGTAAGTCTCCTTTCTTCGCAACGTCATAAAAGATTCCATCTTTTCAGAAAAAAAAATAAAGCAAAAATTTGATAAAACACAGAAAAAAGGAGCATATTCCGAGAAATTAGAAATCAGATCTGTTCCCTACCTCCCCCAAGATTTCATGGAGTTCTTAAAGCCTTCACCCATTTGAAAAGATTGAGATCAAAGTAATTTTTGTTGGAAGTATTTGTCCTCGCCCATTAATTTCACGATCTCAATATGTTGGGTATACTTCATTCTTCATTCTCGTTGTTTTAAATCTATTATTTTTTAATCTGATTTTGGTGTCATAGAATACAAAGTAGATTCAGTTCCCTTGAAGAAAAGTTCTTTGTTTCAAACTCTGGAATAGAAAAGAGCATTGGGATGTCTAATTTATAGAAAGAGCAAAAATGCAAAATCACTTAATGCTTAGGTGACAAATCGGGACACATGGCAAAAATACGTCAGTGAGGCTCAATAGTGGGCTGGGTAAGGGGGTTGAGGATCTTAACCGCTTTATACAAAGTATTGTAGTTCTATGTTTTTCTTGGGAAGTTTTTATTCTATTTATTTTACCTGGGGAAGGGTGGAATTTAAGAAACAGAGGGGGAAGGGGGTTTTGAACCCAATACCTCTAACTCCTTTGTCTCAACCTCTTTATTGAAAGGTTGTAATTCTATGTTCAATCAATTCTTCCTTGCACCTTCCTTTTCTCATTTTAAAGTTAGTCCATACCAATAGGTGTTGTATGTGAAACAGCCTCTTTCCCACCATTCAGCAATCATACTACCAATAAGGTTTTTTGCTTAATTTCTGCAGCTGTGTATGCCAGTGTCTTCCTTGTGACTCTAGCTGACTTGATGGGTGTAAAGCTAGTTGGAAACACATTTTGAGGGGGTAAATGCATTTTACCTTTTTTTGTAAATGATTTTCTGTAACTCAAATTTTTCTTTGATAAAAGAGAATTTTGTATGGCTTAGCCAATTCATTAGCTCCACTAGAGCAGTGTGTTTTTGTGGATGTCAAATCCTTTAGTTCTGACTGGGATTTCCCCATCTCTTATGTATGCCTTGTTCAGGTATCTGAAAATAAGTAGATAAGCAAAGAAAACCAGGCCTTCCAATTTCTGGTATGTGGTTGTTTTGGCAACTTATGAAATTGTATTCTAGGACTCCAAAGAAGTATAGATAGTTAATTATGCAGATTTAAAACTGAACATGTTTAAAAGGCTGGGTATTATGAAATAGCTCTTCTCCTGATCTGAATTGAAGATATTGGGTAAGAATGCAATTTTTTAACATCCAGCAAAGTTAAAGACCTAAATATGCATTTCTTCCCTACAGGAGGCCGTCGAGATGACTGTTGGACCTTCGAAAGGTCTCAGTACTAGGAAATGATATGCAGTTGTTAATGGAATGGCAACTAACAAATGAATTGTAAGCTGTGTTTAACAGTTTTGGTTCTTTTGCTTTTTAGAATAGGTCATGCTTCCTGTCATGTACTCACTTCAGAGGTATGGCACGCCTGTGTGGGAAATAGTTGGTTGTTCATGACCTTTACCTATAAGAATGCAATTCCAAGGTTGATTTATTGTTGGCCTTCAATACGCATTCTACGATTGTTGGACGGTTGTCATGTAAATATAGAAATGGATGCTTAAACTTGCTCTTTTCTTTTGTAACTTGCAGCTATGGTGGTCACTGGTAAGTCGTGGGACAAACTGATCTTAAACAGTGATGTACCAGTTCTTGTTGAGTTCTATGCCAGTTGGTGCGGGCCTTGTCGGATGGTGCACCGGGTGATTGATGAGATTGCAATGGACTATACTGGCAGATTGAAATGCTTTGTGCTCAATGCGGATGATGACTTGGAAATTGCCGAGGACTATGAGATTAAGGCTGTACCAGTGGTCTTGTTGTTTAAGAATGGTGAGAAACGTGAATCTGTCATCGGTACCATGCCCAAGGAGTTCTATGTGGCTGCAATTGAAAGGGTCCTATCTACATAGTTGTAGATGTAGTCATGTTCAAAGCTTCCAGGATTATTGGTCAAATTTTATGTACCATTGGCTCAGCATCTTTTGTTTTATTGATTTACTCTCTCCAAAGGATCTGTAAATTATTGGTAGATTTGGTTCTCAGTTTCCTGGGGAACGCTGGCAGTCAGAGGACTGCTTTTTTTTTTGTTTTTTGTCCAGCCTTTTCAAGAAATACAGGAATACGTGTAATGTTAGTCATCAAGATTATGAACTTGCTTGAGTGAGAAGGGCCTGGGTTCGATTCCGAGCTCGGGCAGCCGGGGTAAATTCCTGATGATTCGGTGGGGCCCGCTCTCTCAGGCGCAGTGGGATTAGTTGGGGTTAATGGCGGTGTCAGGTATCCAGTCCCAGACCGCTACCCCCAGATACCCCTGTGTTGACAAAAAAAAAAAAAAAAAAGATTATGAACTTGCTTTTTAGTATGTTCCCTTGATGCGATTCATTTGTGAGAAAGTTTTGTGGACATCATTTCTTTTTGTTTTGCTTTCTATAAATATATAGATGGATTGAGATTCTTTTTGGCTGCCAAACTGGATGGCTTGCACGGAAGGTTAGCTGAAAGTTCTGAATATGATAAAGGAAAACAATCTGATACATGTGTCACACATGTATAAGTTTCTTGACAATGCCTTGCAAATGCTGTCTTTGGATATTAAAGAGGAAGGAGAAATGGACAAACTCCCAGTTGTTGAGTAAATCATTAGAACTCAACACATGCTGCTTTTTTCTTTTTCTTTTTAACATGGTGACTGCATCTCTCATTGTTAACTAGGACATGAACTCATCATTTTGTCAGATCCATATCCACATAAATGTCATGCTAACACTTTGACATATTTTATCTCATCAGAGCAAATTGTAATGTCACAATAGCATGCATCAGAAGATGGTAGCACAAGAGCAACAAGTGCTTCTATAAGAACTTTAACCATTATGCATTCAATATCCTC